TTAAATGGGTGGCATCATAAATATGGGACCACTGAGGGCCACTGGATAATGATGGGAGGAGTGGCATCATGAATGTGGACCACTATACAAGTATTGGGGGGGTCTACTGTTCAGAAAGTGAAGGATTTTCATTATGAATAAAGGGCTATTGGTCAGGGCAAGGGGGCAGCATCATACTTATGGGGCCCCTTAGGGTATAAGGCAGGTGGGTGCCATTGTGAATGAAGGGCAACAGTACAGGGTGATCATAAGTGAGGGCCACCCTACAGTGCAGGTGAATGGCATTATATGTGTAGGGGTATCTGAGGTCTGCAGGCCACTAGTGGGGGGGAGGGTCTAATATAAGTGACCCCTTGAGAGCTACTGTACAGGCTTGGTTGGTAATGTCCTATCTGAGTGACCCCTGAGAACCAAATTAAGAGCCAGGGAAATATTGGATGTCAGTCAGCTCTGTGATGTTGGAGGGCCCCTGTGACAGCTGTTGCTCTGAGGGTTCCCCACTTGTGACCTCAGGTGGGAGCTTGGCACCCCCAATATTTGTGGGCGGCAAATATTTGCGGAGTCTCACTTTTTTTGTTTTGCATTTCAGGCCAGAATATGAAGAGAGAGTCTGGCAGGAAGGTCCAGACTGGGAATATCAAAGCGGCCAAGGTAAACATTGCAATATGTCCGTCGTGTACTGACTGCTTACCATATGCACGTATCCTGACCTCTGTGTCTCTCCACAGACCATCGCTGATATCATCCGGACCTGCCTGGGGCCCCGAGCTATGATGAAGGTAGGTGCCACTCAAAGGGGGGGAGTTCCTCCACATGGCTGGGAGGGGTGGGAGTTCCTTTGCGCAGCCGCTGGTGTGCGATGTGAATTAAATAATGGTGCGATGTATGGATTACAGTGCATTGTACTGTTTACCTTTTTAAAAAAAATAATTTTATTGACATTTACTTCTACTAACAGCCGTACGTTGCAATGTGGTGTCGTGTCCCAGTACGGTGACACAAAATACTGCAAATTGCTTTCTGTACATCGGGAAGGTTGCCCAGCACAGCTCAATACATCTGATGTGAATGGGCCCTTTCTGATTTTTCTTGCTTGCCTTTCAGATGCTGCTGGACCCAATGGGCGGGATTGTAATGACCAACGACGGGAACGCCATTCTCAGAGAAGTGAGTGTTTGTGCTGTAAACAGTTTGCACGGCGCTGTGTTTTGTCTATAAACACGGCCTATGTTGTCTTATTTCAATGCTATTTAAAGGTACACACCACTAGAACGTAACAATGATCCCTTATGGTAGATTTAGTGAGCATGGCCTACCTGTCATGAAAATGACGCAGCTCTAGACAGGTATATTGACAGAAATCCTGGGAACACCATATTTGAGTGGAGTTTAGGGCCTCTATGGTGTTCCCAGTCCCCCCTTCTCTCTAGTTTTTTTCAGTGACTTTAAAAGTTGGTCACATGACTAACCCTGGCTTGGGTCCGGATTGCCACACTTGCTTTAGGCTGCCTTCCACTTGATCATTTTTAAAGAGGAAATATATGCCCCCCCTCCTTTATCCATTACAGCCAAGGAAGGCACCATGTTAGCATCTGTTTAGATTGCGGTTGCCATGGTGCTACACATGTGATCAGCTATGACACCAGCCATCAAGCTTGCTATCAAGATTTAGGAAAGCTTGGAGACCCTGTCCCCATGCCCAATCATGGCAATGCACTGGGTTCTGAGTCCACACCCTCTCCAGCGCTGCCCCACTGTTTTTTCCCCCATCACCGGTGCCTCAAAAATACCTGATGCTGCCTGGAGCTCAGAGGGAGCTGTGACCTCATCCCTCGGTGTCGGTGCTCAGGCCTAGCAAATGGCCTGGAGCTCAGAGGGAGCTGTGACCTCATCCCTCGGTGTCGGTGCTCAGGCCCAGCAAATGGCCTGAGCAGTGCAATGTGGGAGGAGGTCATTTGCTCCTCCATACCTGGAAGCACCGTGTATTTTGTCATGGCAGCCACAGGAGGAGGGCTAAGGAGGGAAGCATAAGGTTGTCAGGGGTGGGTTTTAAACAGACCCTATCACTTTGCCCAGAATGGGGTCTCTTAAAGGAGAACTATGGGGTAAGTGTTTTTCCCCATAGTTCTCTTTAGGGTCACAGGAGGACATATACTAACCTCCACCCGTGACCCAAAGCTCAGTATATCGCGGGCAAAACTGAGAGCGCCACAGGCCGACAATACTGTGGTGATCCACCCAGCTGTGTGAGTGACAGCTATCTAGAGGCAGTGCCTGCCCCCTCTCGTCCATTCCTTCACTCAGTGGTGGAGGATTGGAGAGGGAAGAATCCCTGCGGGGAGCGGTGACGGTCGCCACTCACTGCAGGGTGACGATCGGGAAGTGAGTGGATCGGCTGCATGTTTTTGCTCACTTCCTGATCAACAATAGAGCTGACCTGTGACGGCTTCTTTGTCACGGGGCGTCTCTGACTATGAGGGTGAGTGGAAATCACTCACCTCATAGTTCTCCTTTAAACATAGCCCAGTATTGCCCTAATGTTGCAGTAGATGCTCTGATTGGACAGTATAAAGCCAGCCATAGAGACAGTCTGTGCAGATTTTGTACAATAAAAACTAAGTGGCAAGCAGGGGAGAATATACACAGGCATGTTTACATGTTATGTCATCTTTGCCATGTAAGTAAGTCCCCTGATTGTCTATCTCCATTATAGATTCAGGTGCAGCACCCCGCCGCCAAATCCATGATTGAGATCAGCCGCACCCAGGATGAGGAGGTGGGAGACGGGACCACATCTGTCATCATTCTGGGTGAGGAGAACTGAGGAGAAAAAACTCCCAGGTGTCAGTGATGGGATATGTAGCTGTGAGATATGACCCTTTTTCTCTGTTCACAGCTGGAGAGATGCTGTCAGTCGCCGAGCAATTCCTGGAGCAGCAGATGCATCCAACTATTATTATCAGCGCCTACCGCAAGGCCCTGGATGATATGATCGACAATCTGAAGGAGATCAGGTGCCAAAGTGGAACAAATTTATATTATGCCGGTTGTTTTCCTTAGGAAATATTTTCAGCAGTTTCTCCTATTCAGAAATCTGACCTCCGGCCTTCCCTTCAGTCTTGCACAGTTGTGACGGCTCCTCTGCTGAACTGAAATGGCTTCCTCTGATATCACTGCACACTTCTCACAATGTGCATTAGAAGCTACAGCAAGTCAGAGCCCACCTCATTTCTGACTGGAGGATGTCTAGCATTATTTAGTCTCTCCGCCCCCCCTCCCGACTGTCCCTGGCCCCGCACCGGTCATGGAGGCTTAGCATCCCATGTGGGTGTTACTTATGGTGGTCTGTAGTGATGCACTGATTCTAGTATCAGTGCTGATACCTAGTATTTGGGCGAGTACTCGTAAGCTCCCAAATGCTCCGATACCGGAACTTACGGTCAGAGTTCCTTTGACCGGATGTGCCCTAGGGGAGCATGGAGCCAGCTTCCCATTAGATCAGGAAAAGGGGCGGCGGGTAATGACCCACCTCCCAGCTTCCTGATTGGCCAGTGAAGCCGGCTCCATGCTGATTGGCTGGGAAGCCTGCTTTACAGCCAATCAGCATGGAGCTAGCTTCCCGGGCAATCAGGAAGCCGGGCGGCATGTCATTACCCACCACCCGTCTTCCTGATTGCCCGGGAAGCCTGCTCCATGCCAGCGGAAGCACTGGTATTGGTGAGTACCAAAAGCAAAGTATTGGTACTCGTACTCGATACCAAAAAAAACCCGGGATCGCTGCATCCCTAGTGGTCTGCATGCAAGTACTGCCTAGGAACATCCAGACTGACACCCACCCATCAAGGTATTTTTGATATTTGCATAACTCGTCCAAAGAGTCAGCCCACTACTTGCATCAGGGCTAAGGGCCAATGAGAGGTGTACTGAGGCAGGGGGCTGTGGTGGTTACAGGAAGCTATATACAGCACCCTGCCAGCCCCTCCCACCAGCCATTATCTGCTTGCCTTGCATGAAGGGGCACAGAGACCTAATGATATCACTGATTCTAAAATATGGTATGTTGATGAGGGAGTAACCAGTAAAAGCAAAATATAAGCAGATTCAACTTCAGCTTTAACTTTTTCCCATTGTATGTAAACCTAAAAAAACAAGCGTTAGCCTGTGCTAAAAGTGCTGTGCAAACTGTTGTCACTATATACATCTTGTATTGTAATAATAATCTATGCCATGCTCATGCTGTGTGTGCACCCCTGCAGCACCCCTGTTGACACAAATGACCGCAATCTGATGCTGAAGATCATCAACAGTGCCATTAACACCAAGGCCATCAAACGCTGGGCGGACATGGCCTGCAACATCGCTCTGGATGCCGTCAAGACTGTGGAGTTAGAGGAGAACGGACGCAAAGAGATCGACATCAAGAAGTACGCCAAGGTGGAGAAGGTCAGTACTGAGCGGAAAGAACGGCATAACTTGTTTGGTAGTACTCCATAAGTGTATGATTGGTTGAATCTGCTAATTTTTTTTTGTCTGACATGTGTCATCCGCAATTTGTTTTGGGCTTTCTTTGTGGTAAATTGCCATTTTATAAGGAACGTAGGAGGAGAGGCTTACCCAGAAAAAACAGGCTGCATGTCATCAGAGAGCAGCTCTGTGACCGTATTGTGTTCTGCAGCTTCCTTGATCTACTGCAACTCCCTCCAGGTTTATCAAGGCTTGAGCGATGTGCAGTGGTGTACTTTGATTTGGTGCTGTACTAGGCAAGTCAAAACTCAGCCCCCCCCCCCCCCCTAAAAATTTTCCCCCCCCCCCCCTTTTTTCTACTTTTTTTTTTTT